ACTGTAACAATATGTTCGAATAAACAGACCTGAGACATGACCTCACCTTAACTCCAAAAAAAAAAAAAAAAAAAAAATATTTATAAAGAGCAAAATAATAAAATATGATGGAAAACTACTTAGAATACTTTACCTTTAGGCTCAAAAATTTTGGCAATTATTTTGTATTTTGATGTTACTAATTGTGATACATTGGGTAAAAGTCAGCTTTATCTAAATATTTGTCACTTGGAAATATACCTACTTGATGCAGAAATAAGCAAGATGCAAAGCAATTATTAGGTTACTTGTCAATAATAAAATTAACATCTGGTGTAACTAAACAAAAAGTTAAACAAACTTTGTATAATTGTCTAAAAATAATCTTAGAACTAATTCAATTATATTCAGAAGCTGAAATTAATTTGTTAATTAACAACACATATATATAGTTTTTTCCAAAAGTTTCAACAATTATTGCAGATTGGCTAGAAGCTGCAACATTTTGTCTAATATACAAATCAGCAAGCTCTAACTATCTTTGTCATTTTTGTTTAGTTAATAGAAAAAATTTAGCTAATTTAAAACTTACTAAAAATAATTTAAAACTTAAAAATACTAAAAATATACTAAATTATTATAATATGAATAAAGAAAATACAGTTTGTATTGAATCAGTACAAAATATTTTTTGGAATTTAAGTAAGTATAAAATTATAATTAATTAAAACATTTTAAAATAATTTGAAATATTGATAAGAATTTCAATAATACCAAATTATAATATATTGTGAATATATATGAATATATTTAAATAAATTCAAATTATTATTAAGGAGTGTGGCGATCTAGTAAAGTGGTCAAGTTGTTAACCCCCAAGTGGCAGGTCTAGAGTTCAAATCCTATAAATGATGAATTTTGGAAAATAGATCTGTATTATGATAACTGTCTCTGTCGATTGGTTGAATTAGTGTATCTATAATCTTTGTTGCATCATCTTGAATGGGAGCTTGGGGCATCTATGCTAAGTGTATCATTATACCCATATAAAGGAATGTTAATAACCAGTGTTGCATAAGACTTCAGTGCAAACCCACAATAAGACTACTGGGCACAGAAAGCAAAAGAACTGGAGAGTCGGAAACCCACTTGGAAATCCTGAGTAAGGAGGTAGCACAAAACTTTCAATGGTGCTATCAGACTAATGAAAGTCCATGAAACACTCCAAAGGGATAGGCAGATAAACCAGATAGCAAGATGTGTAGAAAAGCACATGACCAACCAGGCCACCAGAATTACTAGAAGAAAAGGACACTAAGATATACTATACTGGGCCATCTGAATTGGAAGTCCGAGGAGTTCTGTCAGTCCTGAGTAGCGGTTAGTAGAGGACAATAGAGAGGATGTTAGAAAGATGGGTACTGGGGTTTTGGGTAAACCTTATAAAAATAAAAGCAGTTTAATGGTTAGTCCTGACTGCAAGTGATGGTTTAGGCCAAAGCATAACCAAGTAAGCTGTAAGTATGGGATACAGAACATACTGATAAGTTTAGTACAAAGTTAAATATAACTTAGTGACTATGGCATATCTTCACCAGTTTATCAGAGTTGCTGATAAAGTGTGATGGATGCAGGATCAGAGTGTTTAAATAGAGGATCTACAGGTGGGTTCTAGATTTAGCAACTAGTATAGAACCTTCAGGCAGACTACTTAAATTAGACAATGACTAAAGTTGTACGAGTGGCTAGTTGTACACTTTTTCTGTAATTGCCTCTGTATTTGTATATATACAGGCACTGGCCAACTTATACTATTAGTAAAATCCTAGATTACATGTACTCACCTTAATATTTAAAAAAAAAAAAAAAATAAATTCAAATTATTTTAAATATTTGCAAATATTTTTAAAGATTGTAATTATTTTTAAATTTATTTACAATATTTCAAAACTTTGCAAATTATTTTAAATTTTATTATATTATTAAATACTAATAAATAATTTAATTTATTTATTAATTTTAGTAATATTAATATATATGAAGCTACAGTAATTGATAGTGTCATATCATGGAAAATATCAACTCTAAAATTCCCTATTCATAGGGTCAATGAAAGTCTTTTGTGTAACATCAGATGAATTAGTACTCAAAAGAGGCATTAGATTTGGGCAAGTACTAAGGGTAAGTATTTCTTTATTAGATATACTTCAAGACTTGTTTTCATTATATTATAACCACATTACTTATATACTTTTTTCTTATATACTATATCTACTAATTATGCTCTATATGCTATATCTACTAATTATACTGATTACGCTATATCTACTAATTACACTCTATATGCTATATCTACTAATTATCTGATTACGCTATATTTACTAATTATACTCTATATACTATATCTACTAATTATGTTGATTACACTATATCTACTAATTATGCTCCATGTGCTATATCTACTAGTTATGCTCTATGTGCTGTATCTACTAATTACACTCTATATACTATGTGCTATAATAATTACTATATATTATTACTTTATTATGTGATGTAACTTAAATGAGATATCGACAATCCTATTTTGGATTGTAATATTTTTCTCTACTTTAATACATTTGTTTCACGAATTTAAACCAGGCTTTGGAAATCTTTGGCAGGTTGGTACAATGAGGGCATAATGATTATATCTTGCAAGATAGTTAATAGTAGATCACTTATTATATTACTAAGAATATTTACGTTTTTTTTTTTTTTTTGCAGTTTATTGTTTGCTAACTATTATTATTACATTTTTTTTTGAAGGAAGTCTCCACTAGGATCGAATATTCAATTATATAGGTCATGTGCTAGTAAGCATCAAAGAGCTTCCTTTTTGCTGATATTTATATGCTTAATTCGATCTAATACCATTCCTTTTATACACTTCAAGTATTGTTCAGATGTTTTATTGCTCAATTTCTCTTTATCAGAGCAGTTTCTATTCTGATAACAAGAGCCAAAACTTCATCCTCTATTAGGTAGTGGAAATTCTTTAGGCTTGGCCAGGTATAGTTTCTTTATCATCTTTTGTTATATTGGATTAATCTTTTGAACTCATTTACTCTTTTGTTTCAGTCTTTACTAGCCTGGTCCAAGTTTTCTAATAGGGTTCATCATCCATCTTCAACTGATTTTGAATACTATTTCTATGCTGGTTTCTTATCTCTTCCAGTTCCAATTTTTTCATCTTTATCAATTCATTCATCCTTTCTGATTCCAATTCATTTGTTTTTTCCAACTTCATTCTATTCATCTTTCCCAACTCCATTTTGTTTGGCCCTTTCAACCTTATTTCATTTATTTTTTTTGACTCTCTTTTGTTTGCCTTTCTTGACTTCAATTTATTCATTTTTTTCAACTTTATTTTATTTATCTTCTTCAACTACAATTTGTTCATCATATTCAACTCCAATTCATTCATCTTCTTCAACTTCAATTGGTTTATCATTTTCAACTCCAATATGTTTGTTCTTTTTGACTTCATTACATTCAGCTTTTTTAACTTCAATTCTATTTTTATAATGTTCATCATCATTACATTGGGCACTTGCATTTTTATTTTCATAGCAATAACTAACATTAAATGCTCCATTAAAATCAACTATATCTGTAAAATTTTAATAATAGCCAAAAGCTTTATATTTATCTTTGTCAACACCAATTTGTTTGTTTTTTTTAATTCCAATACCATTTTCATAACAATGGCTGACATTATATATTCCATTAACATCTTCCAACTCAGAAGCTTTCTAAGAATATTTGAATGCCTTGCATTCGTCATCTTCAGCTTCTATTCTTTCTTTATAACAATAGCTGACATTATATGTTCCTTTAACATCTTTCATCTCAGCAGGTTTACAATAGCCGACATTATATGTTCCTTTAATGTTTTTCATCTTAGTGGGCTTACAATAGGTGAATGCCATATGTTAGTCTTTTTTAATCCCAATTCTATCTTTAGTATTTTTTTAATACTGTTGAAATGCTCCTTTTTTATTTTCAGCTATATCCATTCTTAAATTGTAGCATTGCCAAAGGCCATGTTGTTCAGGTGAGTCATCACTTTTAGCTGATTTTAAATATTACTTGGACGTAATGGTTTTCTTGTTCACTAATCTATTTTTTTCTTTCTTTATACAACTTCTTGTATTATTAGAGGTTTGGGCTCTTCCTTTTGCCAAGTGTCTTGTTTGCTTCTTTCTTTCTGGAGTATTAGGCCTGCATTGTCTTCCTAAGGTATGTGTCTCTTGTTTTATCTTAATTTTTTCTTTTAACCAATAGGGTTTCTTTTTTCTTACTTCATTCACAATTTTTTGATAGAATTCTGCAAGCAACTTGAACTTCTGAAACTCTTCTTTATCTATTTTGGCATTTTGAATCTTCCTGCTTGCTTCTTCTATAAAACTTTTGACATATTCGGTAAGTTGTATAAAATTTCCTTTGTCTAATTGTATTTTTTTTTAGGTTCTTAAGTTGTTACAATATGAAGCTTGTGGGTAAAGGTAATTGTATTATTATTATTATCCTTGGGGTCATTTGCAAGGTGGTTCAACTTATACTTTAGGGTTTTCTGTTACTTATCACAAAGGTTAGGTTTGGCTTGAAATTGGCTTTTGGATATTCTTAGGTACTATTTGTAAAGAGTTTTTCTACTGTTCAAATTCTTTTTTTTTTTGAAATTTGACTAACTTATCTTTGGGTTTTATTGTAATGCCAGGACACTAGTTACCCAGTCTGGATTGGGTTTGAATTTAAGTATTGAAGATTTTTTTGTTTTTTTTTTATATACTGATGCTAATAGTTTTTTTTTTTTTTGTAATGTTGGCCTCTTCTTTCATATAGTACATCGGTAAGGTCTCAATCTAGCAGTTCTTTGAACTTAGTATGTTGGTCTGAGTAACAATCTTTTCTTACTAATATATTGGCTTTTATATTTCATGCAGTGTATCAGTGAGGTCTTGATTTGGAAATGTTTTTTGGACTTGGTACATTGGTTCAGGTGACTCTTCTCTTCTTGCTAGTATATTGGTAAGTTTTCTATTTAATATTTCCTGTATTGTTTCTTATTGTCCTTTCTTCTAATTTAATTTTCATCATTTTTCGAATCGGGAGAGTGAGTAAGAATAGATCTCACAGTCACTACTAATTGTTATATCATTAAAAATATCAACTTTAAAATTCTCTATTTATAGAGTCAACAAAAGTTTCTTGCATAATGTCAGATGAATTAGTACTCAAAAGAGGCATTGGATTTGGGCAAGTACTAAAAGTAAGGATTTCTTTATTAGATATACTGCGAGACTTGTTTTCATTATATTATAACTATATTACTTATATACTTTTTCCCTATACACTATATCTACTAATTATGCTCTATATGCTATATTTACTAATTATGCTAATTACACTATATCTACTAATTACACTCTATATGCTATATCTACTAATTATACTAATTATGCTATATTTACTAATTATGCTCTATATGCTATATCTACTAATTATATTAATTAAACTATATCTACTAATTTCACTCTATGTACTATGTGCTGTATCTACTAATTATGCTTTATATACTGTAATAAAATTTACTAAAAACTATTAAGCTGTAGCAAATTTTAAAGTAATGAAAGTCGAGTAGAAGATCTTTTATTTAAAGGAAAATAAAATAAAAGAAAAGAAGAAATATAAAAATAAATAAAA